GCCTGCCAAAACGAAACCTGTTTCCGCGAATGTTCGGGAACTCGGCGAGTAGGTGGCGCGAGTCACCGACCAATTCTTCGCGAGGCGCTTTGAGTTGTTTGTTTTCTGGGTCGGGTAAATCTCCTCACCGCAACCTCTTTTTTTTTTTTTTTTCTTCGAGCTAGTGATTTAAGAGTACGCCTAAGCCACTAGTATTAGTTAGTTGGGCGCATCGTGGTTGGGCGTACGCAATCAATGTGCGTATGATGCGAGCTTTTACTATGATACTTCATCTCATGCCTTTATCATTTGCGGGAGGCGCTCACTTGATCGAATGACGTTTTAGCGAACGCCCACGTTTCACCGAATGACACTTTAGCGAACAGTCGGACGCCGCGAAGCGGCGTTTTCGGGTGGGCCAAATGGGTTCACATTTTTGTAATGAGCCGCCGCAGACTGTCGCCGCGAAGCGGCGTGAGCGCAGTGCGGCGAACGGGTTGCACGGGTTAACGCGCGCCCCCGTTATTCGCTAAAACGTCGATTCGCTCAAATGTCGCTGTTCGCTAAAACGTAATTCGCTCATGTGATATGGACCATTTGCCCTATTTCAGTACATTTTCAACACTTCAACCTTCCTGCCCCGTAGAATTACGACTAGAAACAACGCGTTAATTGTAAATAATCATTTACGACAGATGTAGTGCCACTGAGCTACTAACTTGTTTCTTGCCATTTGTTTGGTATTGGCACTGACGAGACACGTGGGAGAGCGCTTTGCAGCCACTGCTGGTCAATATTGGAGGGAATTTAGTGGGATCACGGATAACTCATAAGTTACAATATTACAAGCGACTAGTGTGATAAACTGCACTCCGAAGGACGCTGTTTCGTCGCAGCGTTTGAGGTTGTTTGGAAAATAGCCTCTCAACAGCGAATACACAAATGGCCCATTTCAAGACGGACAGCTGTCCTGTCAACAAATCAGACCGTTCATACGACAAACCACTTCGAACTTCGATTTTGACGGTGTTGTCAGCGTTGGTTTGAAAGCGTAATGATTTCAAGCTTCCAGCATGCTCATTACAAACACCATGGAACTTGTTGTTCAGAAGGTAATGACGCCACGAGAGGTAACCATAGGAGGGCGCCACCCAAACATCTCTCCCCTAATAGTCTCCTCGATTTGGCTGTTGTTCTTTTTGTACGCTTTCGACTTTTTTTGTTTTCGTGTCGCGGTGACGAAGAGCGGAACGCTCGTAAGATATGTTCTGTTCCTTTATTTCTTTCTCTCTTTTTTTTGCCGACTATGTGCGTGCCCTGTGCACGTTTTCATTACTATTGAATTTTGTCGCTATTAAATAGTGTTCGTAACGCCAGGCACGACTCGCTCTTAATTGCCACCACCTCTCAGGAAGTACATCGCCGAGGTGCGGCCATATCACCTGGACAGTGCTCGAATTCGAATTACCGATATGTGTTTGCTTATGGGATCTTTTACACCCGAACCTGCGACAGACGTCAGCGCGCTGTACGTCCAACTGAAGTTTTGGAATATCGTATAAGGGTTATAAAAATACACTTTTTGTTTCTTTTCTAATAGTGTGCGAGCTGCGTGCGGTATTAATTTAGCGTGCATTTCCGTCGCGCAACGCGCGAAAGGAGTGAAGCTGCCGTCGTACTCACTGTCAATTACAGCCTTGGTTCGCCGCGGTAGACGACAACAAAGCAATCTCTCGCCGACGGCGACCGCATTCATTTGAATTCTCGACTAAGGAAAAGAAAGCTGGTTCGCGGCTGCCGGGAAGCGAAGACATGGATGCTGAGAACCGTTGGGGGACGTCGTTTTATCGACTGTCGCACATATTTGCCGTGTTTACCTTTGTTTTCTACTAGGTGATAGAAGCCTCGATGCGAATAAAGTGCATACACTCTATTTGCAACATTATTCACCGACGTGGTGGTACACGACGAGGGGTTTGCGCACTCAAATGGTCGGAGTAAAAAAATTAAAGGGCAGTCAAGGGAGTTAGCGTTAGCATGGATCGCCGTATTGCCATGTGATCCGTGTTACATGCATTGTATAAATCGTGTGCTGAAAATGTTTGCGTGCAAGATGTGTATCCAGTTGCGAATGTGGGAGCGTCAAAATAAATTTGAATCAGTTTCTTTTTTTTTTATCTTTAAATTGGACGATGACTTGCGCCACCTGGATAACTCATTTCGTTTTGTATTGTATTGTATTCTGCGGCACAATCTCTTTGAAACGAGACTCGAAGTTGGACACGCCAAAAAAAAGTTAAAAAATAAAAAGGAAAGGGAAAAAAAAGGGGGGAGAGGGGGGAGAGGTCGTCAGGGTCAGGACCCAGCATCTGCCGTCGGCGACCCCTGGTGGGCGGAGGGTAACAGCTACACGAGCACGGAGGTTCCATCGGTACGCGCTGACTTCTCGGTGCGCAAATCACCGTCGCACTTTCCACCACGCCTCCAGTCTTTGCCTAGAACAGGCCACGTGGTCATGTTCATTCGTGAAGCCGAGTGCCTGCTCGATGCGGGCGTCCCCGGTGGGCGCTGGCAGGAGCCTCTGGCACGAGAGCAGCAAATGCGGTCTCTTCGTCTTCTCCACAGGCACTGCATGTCATGTCCGTCACGCTACTGTCGAACTGTCGACTGTACTGTCTGGTGCGCAGGGCACCGCCACGGGCCTCGATGAGTAGGCGATTTCCCAGCGTGTTCCTGCAGAACGTTATGGGAGCGATCTCGGTCTTGAAAGATGCATACTAATAGTGCACGCTAGTATGCCGTTGCATTCCCAATGTCCAGCGCTCCCTTTCGACAGCCTTTATCTGCGTTCGCACTTTACGCACCTAATATTTTTCAGCTTGAGACTCATCATTTATGCAAAAGGCTCCAAACTTTGTGCCCAGGCGGGTGACACGATTCCTCCACGTCGAATGGATGTTCCTGAGGTGAATGTAGATGAAAAGTCGCCGTGCCCAGCGGTCCTCGTGCATATGCCGGAGTTGCGCGTAGTAGCTTGCTGCTGGCCTCTCGTGCCACGAAAGATGACCATCCGACGTCACCTTCAACAAGCTCGTTGGCTAATTGTCCATGGCATCCCGGCGCTTGACATCCGACACCTCTTTGGCGTCGTTCAAGATGTTCACGAAGCTCGCAGGGTATGCCAATGACAGAGTTTCCTAAAGTCAGGCCGGGTACCGCGACGCCTTTCCAAAGTTCCCTGGTAACGACGGATTGGTCGCAGCTCCAGAAGCACCGTCTTCGCAGTATGTTTCGCTTACGCACAGAGGACGTCCTGAGGTTTTGGTGATACTCGGCGAGGTGGTTTTCCGTAGCTGATAGTTTCCCGCCAAGGTACCTGTACTTGGTGCAAAAAGGGGTCATCGCACCCTGTAGGATGAATGGTCCAATACTCTCCTCCTCGCGGAAAAAAACAACTGTCAGTGACTCTTTCTTTTTTCTTTATTTTTGTTGCGCCTGCCATCTGGCGGAAAGTGGCTTCAACACACGCCCTTTTTCACCGGAAATCACGTGACTCGTTGCGTTTCCGGACTATACTTCGTCTTACCAGCAGCGACTATACTCCGTTTCACCTTATGTTGTACCGCAGAGAAGGCTAGAAGCGCGAGCTCATAGTGTTGGGAGCTGGTCTTAACGCACGAGAGCTTGTGCCGCCCGGATATGCCCTAGAGCAAGGAGCTCGCGCTTGTAGCCTTTCCTGCGGTACATCATAAGGTGAAACCGAGTATAACTGCGAAGGCTGTGCAAGCGCGAGCGGCTAGCCTTTACTGCCTTGACTGGAGCGCTCGCTGGCCGAGCGCTCGTGCAAGGAGCGCGCGGCTAACAATAGTCCATGCTAAGGTGAGACGAAAACAGTTGCTATACTCCGCGACAACTTTTCTTGGCAATGCAGTGGAAGGTACAGGACCGCGTCCCCTCTCCCATTTTGAGTGTACGCAGGCTCTCCTCCTCCCCCATTTCCGGGGGGAGGAGAAGAGCCCGCGCACACTCAAAATGGGAGAGGGGACGCGGGCCTGTACCTTCCACTGCATTGCCAAGAAAAGTTGTCGCGGAGTATAGCTTCTTGACCTAGTCAGCGTTGCTAGCTTGACCGTTGCTACCTACTGTTACTACGTATCTAATAACACATGTGGTTAAGAAAAGTATTCTAGGGAAAGGAGGGCTGGGGAGGAGGGAGCAAACTGAATGCTGGAGAGAAGGAAACCACCTCCTCTCTCCAGCGTTCCGTCTGCTTCCTCCTCCTCAGCCTTCTTTTCCCTCGAAAACTTTTCTTAATCTGTAACTCACTATAGTAAATACTACGAGCTTTTTTTTTCTTAAGAGTGTACTGCGTGGTGGCGCCACATAGACAAACATAGTGGCGCCCACGGAACAGAGAAAACTAGAAAAAAGAAGAGAGGGAGAGGTTAGAGCGCCCCTTGCGCTGGCTGTCGTTTATGCTGCGCGCCCTGGCATACCGAGGCTTTGACGCCCGAGCGGCCGCCGTATTCCGGCACGAGCATTTTGTGGTTGTCCGACCCAAACTCTGGGCTTCCTCTTCGGGGACTCCCGGCGATAGCCCCTCATGTGGCGCCCAGGGACCGTGCCCCTCTGGCCGTAAAACGCTCGGTCGTAGGCAGTCGCGAGTGTGGGAACGAGTCCAGACACGAAAGCTACGACAGAGTCACGGGCACAGAATTCGCCGTGCTCAGCGTGACACACAGTGGAAAAAGTAGCTGCCCGAAGCAATCCTGATCCGCAGTCTTTGTATGTACTGTCATTTGGCTGCTGTGGACGCAATCGACACAAACGTAAGCGAAATATTTCGTAAAAACAACCGACGAAGGACGAGAAGGAGGGGGGGGTCAGGTTCGGAAACGTGATGAGCCAAACCAGCTGTGGGCACTGTCCCCATGTGCGGAGATTCCGACCCTATCGGGTTCCGTATCGGAAGCAGGAGGACACCGGTCAGACCGGTGAGGGCCGGACGACGCCGTCGTCTGGTCACTCGCACCGGGCTCACTTCGGCTGGGACTCCTTGGCGCATCGGACAACTTTCAGGAGGGAACCCCGCTGCAAGGTATACGCTCGCTCAGTCGTCTCAATAGCGTCGGGCTTTGGCCTTTGTTGCGCGACTGCTTGGGACGTTGTTCTCTGAGCCTCTCTCTAGTGCCTGCTATAGAAACTGAGGGAGAGGGGGAGATGACAGCGCTCGGTCACAACACTGATCTCTAGTTGGAATGATTAGGGGCCCGGGGGATTGACGCGAAGGGATACCCTTGTCTCTACTCAATGTGCGAACGCGTTCGAACGCGGAACGTTGGACGCTGGCGTTTGTTGTTCGAACGCGTTCGAACACTGAGGAGAGATGAAGGCAGCTAGGTTTGAGCCTCCCCACTAATCCTCCCAACAAGAGATGCAGAAATCGAGTACGAGCTCACGCCACCTGGTGGAGGAGACTCACAGATTGACTGTTCATCAATACAATATTATACGCTCGCTTTTATATTCCGTAAACATTGGCGTAATAATTATTATATAAAATTTAAGACATACATTCTGCTGCAAAATTATTTTCCTAAATTTAGATTTTTTTTCTCTGTGTAGAAGTCGGACAACACTGTTGAAAAGTCGAATTTGTTTCGATTCTAGGGTAGATGGCGCCAGCTACCGCCCGTTATAAAGGGTACAGCTGTTAGCATCCATCCATCCATTTACCACACAACAGGGCTGATGGTTCGGCGATCCGGTCAAACCTTGACGTTTGACAAAAGTTCGCCACGTCGCTGTCCTGTGCGTGTTTGACGAGTGTACAGTGTTCTAGAAGGCCTGTAGTGGCAAATGCGGCGCGCTCTCCGTGAGGCCTTAGTATTTAGTATTTCGGGGTGGTCGCCCCGGAGTGGGCGTCAAGGTTCAAGGTTCAAGGTGTTTAATGGCACAACTTTCACACAGCCGAGTGCCTGAGGCAGCCAAAAGGCAGAAGCCCGTACAGCCAAGTGCTGGCTGCCTCCTCGGCTGTGTGTTAACAGGTGAAATGATGATGATGAATATACAAATGAAAGGGAGGAAAAAATGATAGGTACACAGAGTTACTGAGCTCGGAGAGCACGCGACACAGTCCTGCTGAAGTCGCGGAGTTCGTCCCCAGTCCCCGGCAGGGGTGGGCGTGTGCGCTCAGGTAAGGACAGGTACGTGCTCACCGCGGCGGGGAACAGCGAAGCTTCGTGTCGCCGGGTGCGGGCGCGGAGAGGGATAGGGCAGCCTGTCCGGCTAGAGATACGGGGAACTGATGCTGGGTAGGAGCCGGCCAGCGAAGGGCCAGCGGCAACAGCAACGAGTCGGACACGCGCCACTGTTCGTCGGTGGCTCAGGCGGTGCGAGCCAAGAGACTGCAGGCGTTCATCGTAGTCAGAGGAATGGTCGTGGCGGGCCAAGGTTCGAGTCGCGCGGCGCTGCACACTTTCTAGGCGCTCAGTGAGGTGTATCTGATGAGGGCTCCATATTGAAGAACAGTACTCCAGTCGAGGAAGTACCAGAGCCGTGTACAGTGTTTTCAGGGTCTCCCGTCCAAAACGCCGTGAAAATCGAGACGCGAATCCCAGTACCCTGCGAGACCTGCTCACCACCTTAGCCACATGGCAGCTGAAATCGAGTGAGGGCGTGAATGATACACCCAAGATGTTGAGCTCCTGTACAGGTGGGAGAAGGAGCCCTCCAAGCGTGTAGTGTGGAGTCTGGACCTTACTGGCCGAACTGAACCGCATCACGGCACACTTGTCGAGGCTGACACGGAGGTGGTTAGTGGCCGACCAGACAGCCAACTTGTCCAGGTGAGCTTGCATGGCGGCAAGATCAACGGGGGAGCGTATGCACATCGCCAAAGTAGTGTCGTCGGCGTATTGGATGGTGAGGAGCCTGTCGGAGTGCGGAATGTCACGAACATACACATTGAAGAGTGTTGGGCCAAGGACGGACCCTTGAGGGACACCCGAGGGGGCTGAAAGGGTATGCGATACAGCACCCTTGTGCCTTACACGAAAACTGCGATCAGCGAGGAAGGCATCAATCCAATGCAACAAGCTGCCTCCTACCCCGCAATCCGACAACTTCCTACTAAGGCAGTCGTGGTCCAGCGTGTCAAAAGCGCTGCTGTAGTCCAGTTGGACCACGTCGGTGGGAAGGAGGCCGTCCATGTTGTCACTAACGTAGTGAGACACAGTTGCTAGGGCGGTCTCACAAGAGTGAGAACGTCGGAACCCATGCTGGGATGGTGGAAGGAGCTGGAGGCGCTCCAAGTGGTTGAGAAGATGCCTGTTGATGATTCGCTCCAGGGTGCGGCACAGGATAGATGTGATGGAAACTGGACGGTAACTGGATGGGTCGCTCGGTGACCAGGGCCTGTCGCCAACAATCGGGCAGGACAGAGTTGTCCAAAAGAGATTGGTAGATAGCCAGAAGGGATGGAAGAACGTAGGGCTGGATCATCTTGAGGAAGGTGGGAGGGATACCGTCGGGACCAGTAGAAGAGGAAGGTTTGATGCAGCGGAGGGCCTCCTCGAGGTCTGAGGAAGTGAGAGAGAGAGAGGAGAGGGTATCAGGGTTGGACGACAAGTTAATGTCCGCGTCATGGCGGGAAGGTAGGGAAGGGGTAGAAACAGGTGTGAACGCTGAAGCGAACTGGCTACCAAACATGTCGGCAATCTCCCCAGGTGAGGAGACTATCCTGCCATTGGACGTGAAAATCGGCTCCTGTCGCGTAGTCTGTGACTGGCTGACGTAGGACCAGAACACCTTTGGTTCCTTCCGCGCTCGGAAAGCAATCGTGTTAGCAAATGCAGTCTCAGCAGCGTTTAGGTCGGCCTTCAGGGAGCGCTGGAGTGCCTTTGCTCGCGAAAGTGTCTCAGCGCACTGCAGGCGGGCCGCACGCTTGAAGAGTGCCCGCTTCTTCTGAGCAGAGCGGATATGTTCTTTTGTGATCCACGGGGCTCGAGAGCGTCCCCGGCGAGAAACAACACAGGGTACGCACTCCTTCTGGATCGCACACACATAGTCGCACCAAAGGTCCATGTTCTCCAGGCAGTCGTCGCCCATAGTCGTCATGCACCATGGGGTGAGATGAGACAACCTAGCCATGTGCTCTCTATCAGTCCGGTGAAACTTCCATACTGCGCGAGCGAAGTGGCCCTTGCGGGGAAGCGCCATGGCGTATGCGAGTTCGATGGCCAGGTGGTCACTTCCGGAGAGGCCAGGTTAAACATCGCAGGAAAGGCTTTGAGTTGGATGGGACACGAATACAAGATCGAGGAAACTGGAGGATGGGATATAGGTGGGGGAGCGGCAGATCTGGGAAAGCCCCAGTGTCGACACCAGGCCCAGAAGAGTGTCGTCAGCCGCATCAGAAGGGATGGGAGTATCAGTACCCCACCAGTCGATATGGCTGTTGAAGTCACCGAACAGCAGTACTTCGCGATAAGGCTTCGCCAGCGCTTTAGTCAGCGATACGTCGAGGAGGTCATAGGCAGTAGCCCTGGTGGACGGCGGGCAATAAGCTAGAACTAGGAGGGAGCTGCCTTTTGGGTGGCGGAGTTCAAGAAAGACGGCCTCCAACTCCGGGTGCTCCAGGTCATACCTCCTGACTGCCGGGAGGCTGGACGGCACGGCAATGAGCACACCACCACCGTGGGATGGACGGTCACGACGATGGACGTTAAAGGAGGCCTGGCCGAAGAGCTCGGCGTCACAAACGCCAGCGTCCAGTCACGTTTCCGTAAGGAGAATGACAGTGCTGCCGGGGAGGGCTGAGGAGGCGAGCTTGAGGTCTGACAACTTATTCTTCACACTCCGGCAGTTAGTGTACCAGAAGGTGACAGTCTTGTTGAACGGATTGCTCGGCTTGGGGGACGGTGATGTGTCAGGGACGCCCGGCGCGGAGGGAGATGAAGAGTCAGGGGCAGCCAGCACCTCGAAGAAGTCGTCTGCGAGCGGTGGCAGCGAGCAGACTAGGCAAAACCATGGGTCGCCTCCTTTACCTAGCTTGCGGTATTCTCCTAGTGACATATAAACGCAACCCCGATGAATCCAACCATCGCACGAGTCGCAGCAGATGGCCGCTTGATTGTCTCGCACTCGCTTCGTGCAGCTCGCACAGGAAGGATGCTGCGGCCCAGGGTTTGTTGCGATGTCGCCGGCCAGCAGAAGAACACAGACGGTGCGAAGGTCGAGGCGGTGTCCCGTGATGCCGGACAGAGACAGTCGGCGGTGCGGCTGGGAGATGCGCCGGTGTTCCGTCGCCGTTGTCGAGCTAGGCCTAGTAGGTGTAAATGGACCGACGGCCGCCCATGCGGAAAAGCTCGGGGGAAAGGGGCTGGCGACGTACACTGAGATCTGCTGCTTGGCATGATGGTCGAGAGCTAAAGAGTTGTCAAGTCGGAGCTTACAAAGCAGATACAGCATACCCGGAGCAGCGCGAACATGCGACTACCCGCCATGGGGGCTGTTCAAACAGCGCACACTAAACGGGAACTAAAGGAAGTGCAAGCAGGACAAGCGCTGACTCTCAACTGAACTTTAATCACATAAAAACAAAACAAAGAAAACAGCTACTTCGCCCACGTCACATATGATACATTCACCACGTGTCCATACATTCACCACGTGTGTGTGTGTGTGTGTGTGTGTGTGTTTTTGACACCTGGTGAATGTATTATGTGACATTAGCGGGATAGCTATTTTCTTTGTTTTGTTTTCATGTGATTAAAGTTCAGTTAAAAGTCAGCGCTTGTCCTGTTTGCCCTTCCTTTAGTCCCCGTTTACTGTGCGCGGTTTGCCTTTTCGTCAGTATGAACCAACTAACCCACATCGCCACCTTTACGCGATTTAGAAATATGTAGAAATTAAAAAAAAGAAAAATCGAAGTCTGTTGCCAGTAGGACGCGGCCAAAGTGCACAAAAGCACTCCTAACCGATACCGAAAAAAAAAAGAGAGAATAAAAATAAAAATGGGAGTGGAAGTGAGCCGATGAAAGCCGACAGCGAAGTGCACGTGTCCATCTGCCAGTCTTCTTGCACGCCGTCGGTACG